AACCAAAGTAACTTTAGGAGTCAAGTGGTCCAAGTCTTGGATTTACATATATATTTTTAATGCTTGTATTTAAAGAAAAAATTGAGGCTCAAAGAAATTGAGTGAGTTGCCCAAGGTCACAAGCTGTGAGTTCCAGATCCAAGAGTAAATCCCTGATTTCCTGTCCCCTGGAGCCCTTTTCATTAAGACACATGAAGCTCTCCTCCCCACTCCCTCAAGCCAATGTAATGGGTAGAGTTTATGATATTAAGGAATAACGGAGAGAGAAGTTTAGAACAGGGTAGAGTTTCAGAGGTTACATGCCACTCCTTTTTACCTGTGAAATGAAGATAGTCTCAAAGAGGCTAAATGATCTGTCCAAAATTACTCTGGAATCAGTGACATAGCTGAGCCTGGAGCTTCTTGATCATTGTCTGGGACCCTTCTCCTTCTCAAAGCTCCCTCCAGTGTCTGGTGGTATCTCAGGTAAAACCACACCCAGAGAAGTGGGCTTAGGACACCTCCGATGCTTAGCAAGGGTTCAATTAAAACCACACCAGAGCTCCGGCCTTCACCAGGATGATACTTGTGTAATTTCCCAGGTTTACTGGACTGGTGGCCCCCCCAAAGATATATCCACATCAAATCTCTGGAACCTGTGAATGTTTGGAAAAAGGGTCTTTACAGATGTAATTAAGCTAAGGATCTTGAGAGGAGGGAATCATCCTGAATGATCCAGGGGGACCTCAAATCCAATGACAAGTGACCTTCTAAAAGAAAGGCAGAGGGAGGTTTGACACAGAGAGGAGAGGACACAGAGGGGAAGGCTCTGTGGAGATGGAGACAGGGATGAGGGTTATGTAGCCACCGCCACTAGGAGCTGGAAGAGGCAGGGAAGGATCCTCCCCTGGCCTTTGGAGGGAGCACAGCCCCTGCCAGCACCTCAGTTTGGGACTTCTGGCCTCCAGAACTGTGAGACAATAATTTTCTGCGGTTTTAAGCCACCACTGTTACAAAAGACACAGGGAACTAATAATACATTTATAATCTCTATGGATAAAATCAATAAGAAACATAACCAAAAAAAATCAAAGATCACAGAATGGATAGGCAAACTGTGGTACATCCATACAATGGAATATTATTCAGCCTGAAAAAGGAAGGAAATACTGTCACATGCTGCAACATGAATGAACCTCGAGGACATTATACTAAGTGAAATAAGCCCATCAGTGGAAAACACAAATACTGGATGATTCCACCTATATGAGATACTCAGAGTAGTCAAATTCATAGAGACAGAAAGTAGAGTGGTCACCGCCAAGGACTGTGGGGAGAGGGGAATGGGGAGTTACTGTTTAATAAGAACAGATTTCAAAGTCATAAAACGTTATGGAGATGGATGGTGGTGATGGTTGCACAACGTTAGCAATCTATGTGATACTCTGAACTATACACTTAAAAATGGTTAAGATGGTACATTTTATGTTATGTGGATTTTACCATAATTTTAAAAACAGAAAAAAAAACAACTAAACCCCAAAAAGCAAGGATTACAGTATTTACAACAAATCCAGAATCATCACGCTTTACCTACAGTGGGTCAGAGAATAAAAGGCAGAGGGAGGAGGGCAGAGTTTTGTGCTGGGAACCCAGCCAGGTTGACTCACGAGCTGTCACACGTCAGCTGCTCACTGCACAGGACATTTTTCTAGATGACACACCCATCTGAGGGGGATGGCACACCCACTGGGTGGGTCTTGAATCTGCCCGGAACCCCACTGCAACCTGCTCCCAGAAGCCCCACCTCTGCGGGTCTGTGTGGAAAGCGTCCCAGGCTTCGTCCTCATCAATGGCCCTCACGGAGGCCTGAAGCCAGTTGGGTGAGGGGCCCTCGCAGCCCCTGCAAACACTGCAATACTCGGGTCTCCAGGGAGAAACCAGAGTGAGCAGATGTGTCTTCAAAACAGCATGCTCTTGCATCTAGTTCTACTGTAGAGATTCCTTCCTACAGCTGTTGAACTAAATCTGAAGATAATCAACACCCCTCACCAGCCCTTCTGCCTCCCCAACTCTTTTGGGGTATCACAGTCCCACATTTGGCCTGAGGAGACAGCTGCTTCCATCCACGTTGTCTACAAATGTGGTGCTCAAGCTGGGGGCTGCGTTCACTGTCTTCCCGCCTCTCTTGCTATAGCTAAACATCTTGGAAATAAGTTCTGGTGTTTTAGTTATTTGTTTATTCTTGAATTAGAATCGACATACAATATTCTGTTAGTTTTAGGAGTACAACATAGTGATTCGGTATTTTTACACATGGTTCATCACAGTAAGTCTACATTCCATCTTGTTTTAAAATGAAATTTCCTAATTGCTCCCAACTCTACAGGTTTATTTCAGACCTGTGCAGCAGATCAAACTTGGGAAGCCAAGGAAATGCTGTAAGGGCCCACTCAGGGCTCCTCGCTCTGTGGAGGGACAAGGGGCACATTCAGAGGACAGGCGAGGACTACTGTACTTTGTGTCTTGGGATGAGACGGCTGGACTTTAAGCTACCCCCTGGATGGGTCACATGCATCTTCTCCGATAGCTTTCCTAGGGATGTGCATCACCCTGGGCCCCAAACCCAGCCTTGAAGTATCCTTGGGCTGCCAACAAAAGCCTTACTGGAAAGGCCATGAAAACTCCTCCTCGCCCCCCAGCTGTGTGTGTGTGTGGTGGTGGGCATCTACTTCTCAGGTGTCACTCCAGCTAGTGCCACCACTGTTTGGTGTCCAAAGCTCTCCAAACTGGCCTCCCTGTCTCCACCATTTCTTTCTTTCTTTTTTTTTTTTTTTTTTTTTTTTTTGCGGTACGCGGGCCTCTCACTGCCGTGGCCTCTCCCGTTGTGGAGCCCAGGCTCTGGACGCGCAGGTCCAGTGGCCACGGCTCACGGGCCCAGCCGCTCCGTGGCATGTGGGATCTTCCTGGACCGGGGCACGAACCCGCGTCCCCTGCATCGGCAGGCGGACTCCCAACCACTGCGCCACCAGGGAAGCCCTCCACCATTTCTTTTTAAAATTGAGGTGAAATTCACATAACATAAAATTAACCATTTTAAAGGGAACAATTCCGCGACGTTTAGGACATTCACAAGGTTGTGCAACCACCATCTCTATCTAGTTCCAAGACATTTTCATCGCCCCGAGGGGGTACCAATAAGCAGACACTCCCCATCCCCCGTGCCTACCCCCAAGTCCGGGCAACCACCAATCTGCTTCCTCTCCCTATGGATCGATCTCCTCTGGATATTTCATCTAAATGGAAGCATACAGTGTGTGTGGTCGTTCATGACCGGCTTCTACCACTTGGCATAATGTTTTCAAGGTTCATGCATGTTGTAGCCTGTGTCAGAACTCCTTCCTTGGAAAGGCTGAACGATATTCCATTGTCTATATAAACTATATTGTGTTTATCCGTCCATCCATGGACTCGTGGGCTGTTTTCCCTTCTGCCTGGTGGGAGCAGAGCTGCCGTGAACATGGGGGCACACGCATGCATTTGGGGACACCCACCTATTCTTCACACAACAGTCTGATCCAGCCACATGACACTCTAGCCACAATCACTTCAACGCTTCGCACCACTCTTAGGGTAAAGCCAAACTCCTGAATGTGACTTTTGAGGTCCTCATGCTCGGGCCCCTCCCATTCCTCCAGCATCATCTCTCTCAGCCGTGCTCCTGCCCAAATGACTTTGTTTCTTGGGTGTGCTGTGCTTGTGCTTGCCTCTGAGCCTCTGCCATTGCTGTTCCTTCTTCCTGAACACCCTTCCCCTGAGTCAGAGGCAACCACTGTTCCTTCTTCCTGAAACACCCTTCCCCTGAGTCAGAGGCAACCGCTTAGACAACACGCACTTCCTTATCTCCCAAATCCAATTAGCTGGACGAGGTCTCAGCACAGAGCCAACGTCAGCCCCCCTCTGCACTTCACGGACAGGAAGGCATTGCAGAGCTTGCTGTGGGATTAGGAAGGCTACCCCGAACTTGGTGAAATCCCACAGAAGCTGCCCAGTGACACCCTGGGGGACTCTCGGATTCAGTCCTGGGTCCCTGAAACATAGCCTGTTGGGAAGTTTGAATGAGGTGAAGTGGATTCAGTGCCCTGGTGTCTGCTGAAGCCATGTGACAAGTTGTTCAGCTACCTTCCAAGGACTCCACCAGGCGTCCTGACTCAGTGCTCAGTGCACATTCTCCGCCCTGAGACGCGGGACGGGTGTGAGGCAATCTCTGCTTTTTCCATGGGAGTGTGTTAACACCCCACAGGCCTATGAGAAGCCAGGCAGTGACTCTCTGACCTCTGACCTCATGTCCACAGGTGGCCCCGGCCCAGGAGGAGCTCGGCTCAGCCCAGAGGCAGAAGCTGGTGGGGCCGCTGCTGAGAAAGCAGGAACCAAGCTCCCTGGTGCGAGGCAGTCACACCTGAACTTGACAGCCTTCGGCTCAGCCTGGACCACAGGGCGTTCTGGGTCACACAGGATGTGGTTTTCTAAGGGTGGGGAAGTCTACGCCCTCACCTCTAATGACTCTTTCTTCTCTTAGCTTCAATTTGGAGCCTCTGCTCCGTGAGTCTGTACACTCCCACGTATACACACAAGAGCGCACACACGGACATGCGGGCACACATACGCACAGGTGTACCACCCACACACATGGCTCTAGCACGCTCTTCATTTCCTCTTTTCTAACTTCTAAACAAAAGAACAGTTTAATATAACCTTTCCTACTACATAATTCCTAACAGACTCTTTTTCATTCTTTTTCTCCCTCAAATTCCCCATCCTTCCAATTTCCACACGAGCACTCAGTACGCACTGCCTGAGAAGACAGTACCACACAGTAGTTCTCTAAGCGACTCGTCATCTACAACTACCTCCACATGTGAGAAAAAGATGGAAAAAAATGGAAAAAGAGACCCCCGTGTATTTTCCAGGGCCTTGCGGAAGATGACGGTAGCTTCGAGGGAAGCCCATCTGTCACTTACCTCCAGGACCTTGCCAGTGATAAACTGGTGGCAGGCTTCACATTTCACCCCGAAGAGACCCTGGTAGTCCTTTTCGCAATACGGAGCGCCATCCCTGCAGGACAGAGAGCGTCAGCTCCCGAGAAGGCCGAGGGCAGGAAAGACACCCAGACCCATTTCTCTCCGCCCTCCTGCACAGAACGGTAGCAGAAGCTGTTTCTCTCCCACCCAGCACTCACATGTCTGGAGACCTGGTCAGACAGGGTCAAAGCCCACAAAACCAAATGATCCAGAGAGAACGCTGAGGTTCTCCAAGCCGCGTGGAAATAACAGCCAAATGGTTATGGCTGCTGATTCCTGGACTGCCTCAGACCTAACTAGCAAAAACCTGGAGTCTCTCTCTCTTGCAGCACCAGGCCAGATGGGCTTCAGCTGTGGTCCCAGGGTCCCTCTTCCTCAACCCCCACCAGCTCACTGACTCATATGCGTCCCAACAGCATGGAGACGCCATCCCCTTAGCCCTCAGGGGCCCTAGGGGTCCAGGTCCTCTCATTCAGCCTCCTGCAACCTCCTTCATTTCCCTCAGGACACAGTGAAGAATACCATGTTCTATGTGTGCCATCATATGGAAGAGTTAAAACGTGCCACTTCAGACAGCCCAGTTACCTAGCGTTGCACAGCCGTCAGTGTTAGAGGCCAAACATTTCTCTCTTCTTACTTTGGCTGTGCATCAGAATCACCTGTGCAGTTTCTCCCTTTCTAATACTGGTGTTTGCTTCGCCCCAGACACGCAGAATTGGATTTCTAGGGGGTGGGGCCTAAGCTACTTCTTTTGTTTGTTTCACTATATTCAGGAGTTAAATTCATTAAAATTTTTTTGAATAGGTGCTGGTTGGGGACCATTTTTTAAAGTGGATGGGGGAAAATTTTCCCTCACTGCCAGGGGACCCTCCCCCCGCTCCATACTCATTCTTCCCTCCTTAATTTTTTTTTTTTTTTTTTGGCCTGGTTGCACGGCATGTGGAATCTTAATTCCCTGACCAGGGATCAAACCCCGTGCCCACTGCAGTGGAAGTGCGGAGTCTTAACCACTGGACCACCGAGGAAGTCCCTCCTCCTTAATTTAAAAGGTAACCACTGTTAACTAGTTTTTGCAGGTTACAGTAAACAAAAACAAAAACTTCACCTGCTCTATTATCTACACCAGCATCTGACTCTAATGAACCTATTCCCTGGTGGTCCTAATGGGCTCTGTGCTTAGACCCTGAGTGTTTTTTTTTTTTTGGGGGGGGGTGTCTACAAATATGTCTGAGACCTGGAAGGAGGGTAAAGGTTTACTAGTTCCAAATAGGAAAAAAATATTAGCAAAATTACTAAATGCTTAATTGGTTACAACATACAGCCTATCCTTATGTCAGCTTCATTAATTGTTACATTAGGCAATGATGAATATTTCATTAAACTTATAGTAGGCAACAACAGAAGAATAAAATTCTCTTCAAAAGTTTTATAGCAAAAAGTTCATATTGATTGTGGGATGTGAATGTCTTTCATTATGTCTGATGGGATGGGGTGGAGTCCAGGAGAGCAGGGCCTACAGAGGGGCCCAACACGGCCCCATCCCCGCTGAAAGGATCCACGCCCCAGGCCCCAGTCTTACTTGCTGATGTACTCCCCGGTGAGGACTTTGCCGCAGGACTTGCATTTAAAGCAACCCAAGTGCCACTGCTTTTCCAGGGCCAGGAGCGCCTGCCCGTTCTTGATATCTCGCCCGCAGCCAGCACAATCTGGAAAAAAGCAGCCACCAGTGGTTACTCCACGTTTGTTTTGCTAAATCCAAGCATGCAGGCCTGCTCTGAACCCCAGTGTGCACCCATCACACACTCAATAAATATTTACTTAAGCACAATTTCATTCCGCGTTTGCTCCCTGCACGAAACCTTCCCCAGCGGACTCGCAGGCCCCATCCTCACACAGGATGGGAATGTCATAAACCTCCGTGGATCCAAGGGCATGGATGTCCTTCATCAATTTATTTCCTTGGGGGTGATGTAACTACCCTCTGAGCTCCAGCTGGCCCAGAGAATATTTAATTATAGTGTCTTGGCTGTGATTTTAAGAAAGCTCTCATCGGCCTATATTAATTGAGGGCACATGTGAGTAGCTAAGCATACCATGCTGGATGCCTCTCAAACACTATGTATGGGACTCTTGGAAGGCTGCCCGTTAAGTCTCATTTTTGTAAACAGGACTCTACTTCCTTATCAGCCTAAACCAGACTTTCGAAGATTTGTGATCGTCAATTCAATGGCTTTTAATTCCTTAGCCTTCATTTCTCCCTGACAGGCTCCTGTGAAGCAGATAGAGGAGAAAGTGTTTCTTCATGGTAGTGAGTGTGGACCCTGCAATGAGACGACCTGGTTCTGAACCCCAGCTCATGTCGGCTAGCCACGTGACCCAGGCTGGTTCTCGCCTTTTCTAAGTCTTGGTTTCCTCATATGAAAGCCAGGATGCTATTAGTGCCTGTCTCAAGTTCTCTGATGAGGAATCAATGAAATAAAGGACTTAGAGCTCTATAAACATTTGCTATTATTACAACTGCCCTTATTCTCATTATTAAAAACATAGTCGTTAGGGAAATGGAATATTTAAGAGAACCCAGAAGAATGTACAGGCGTACCCCATTTTATCGTGTTTCACTTTATGGTGCTTCAAATACAACGCAAATTGAAGGTTTGTGGCAACCTTACCTCAATCAAGTCTACTGGCGCCATCTTTTCAAAAACATTTGCTCACTTTGTGTCTCTGTGTCATTTTGGTAGTTCTCCCAATTCTCCAAACTTTTTCATTATTATTGTGTTTGTTATGGTGATCTGTGATCAGTGATCTTTGATATTCCTGCTAAGTCTCGCTGAAGGCTCAGATGATGGTTAGCATTTTTCAGCAATAAGGTACTTTCTAATTCAGGTATGTACATCGCTTTTTTACACATCATGTTTTGCACACTTAACAGACTCCAGAATGATGTAAATATAACTTCCATATGCACTGGGGAACCAAAAAAAATTCATGTGACTCATTTTATTGCTGTGTTTGCTTTATTGTGGTGGTCTAGAACTGATCCCACCGAATAGGCAGTATCTCCGAGGTCGGCCTGTAAATTGGTACAACCTTTCTGTAAAGCAATTTCTGTAAAATCAACGTACCTGAGAAAGTGAAAGAAAGCACTGTTGGCACGTTGCTCATGATGTCCCCAACTGATCATAAAAAACACTCACGGAATAAAGAAATGTGCAGACAAGGCCTCTTGGTACACAAAATGATTACACACACCCCATTTCTGACCACATCTGTGACTGCTGCTCCTGTACTAAGAATGACATTTCTAGCCTAACTTGATTTCTCTCTCCTTCTAAAAAAACTCCCCTAACAGTACCCGGCACAAGCCCAAATCCTATAAAAAGTTCCTCTAAATGTCATCCAGAGAGAGCTCACAATTCTTCTTGTTGTCTCCCTTGCTGTGGTTTGTTAAGTACACTTGACTTTTTTTTTATTGACTACAGGTGTGCTTCTGGTGACCTCTGGTCAGTGGGTATTTACATAACCTTTATATTCAGCAATATCATGTCTAAGATTTTATTCTACAAGTAAACTTGCAAAAGAACGTGCATGTGAATGTATGTCTATCCCCTGAAGAATATATATTCATCCTCTACCGCATTTTTGTAACAATAAAACTGAAAATAGCCGATGTGGACATTAATGAGAAAATGGTTACACTGATTACAGGATGGTCAGTAATGGAACACTACATGCCATTGAAACGAAGGAGGTAGATTTGTGTGCTGACGTGGAGAGATGTCCAAAATAGATGGAGTAAAAAAAAAGGAAGCTGTAAAACACTATGCATAACAGAAGCTCTTTTTTTTTTTTTTTTTTTGCGGTACGCGGGCCTCTCACTGTCGTGGCCTCTCCCGTTGCGGAGCACAGGCTCCGAACGCGCAGGCCTAGCGGCCATGGCTCACGGGCCCAGCCGCTCCGCGGCACGTGGTATCTTCCCGGACCGGGGCACGAACCCGTGTCCCCTGCATCGGCAGGCGGACTCTCAACCACTGCGCCACCAGGGAAGCCCCATAAGCTCATATTTTTTTATCAGGAGAATGTAAAAAATTGCTGAGCAAAATATTTATAAAGTTAAAAGTATATCTGCAATACAAGTTATGAATATTGCAGATTAGAATTTCTTTAAGTATAGCCCATTATAAGCTGAGTGTGTATTATACGGTCACAAAGCGTTACAGATTTTTTTAAGAGCTGGGGTTTATACGATCCCCAGCAATTCACCAAGTCTTTCAAAGGGGACCACTCATCTGGTAGTTTACTATAAAGATAAAAATGGGAGGCCACGATATTTGCTCATAAATACAATTTTTAAAGGTCAGGAGCACAGTATGGATTTAAGATGAATTGGCAGGTTTTAATCCAAGCGAACTGAATATTTTCTTCATTCTTCTGATTAGATTATGCCCACTAGGTGGCAATAAGGATTTAAAATAACACGGAAGATGCTGGTTGATAGAATTTTTAAAGCAGAAAATAAACTTTAGAGATGGGTTTTCAATTCTATAACTGAAGACAGTCAGGCTCAAGAAGGTCAGTGGAGCTGTTTGGTATCTCCCCTGCATAGCACTGGGGTTGAGGGAGATCAAAGGTGTGGGGATGGCGAGAGGGCTGGCTTTAGGATTAGGAAGACTTGGGCACTAACTCGGAAAACTTATTCTCTCTGACCCCTCATTTCTTCATCTGGGAAATGCTGACCCACTTCTCAGGTTGCTGCGAGGAAGAAGAGAAACTCTGCGTCGTGAAGTGCTTCGTATAACACTTAGAATGCTTGGTACCTGTTGGGCGCTCCACATGGGGAGCGCCAAGGAAAGGGCACTCCCCTTTCCTTGGTAGGGGCTGAAGGGACTAGAAACCAGGTTTCTTGATTCTGTCTTGCGGTTTTTATAAGCACATTCATGCCCAGATACCTCAGAGCTCTGACAGCAGCTGAGACAATTTGAGTGCAATAATGACCTCTCTGATCCTTCTGCACTGAGGGCTTTGGTGAACCAGGCATTGTGTGAGCGTTTTATAGACATGGCATATACTCTTCAGTAGTTGTTTTTCACAATCTTTATTATCCCTCACAGTCATGGAGTCAAAGTGCCTTGCAGTCTGGAAGCCTCTGACCTCACAGGTGGTGTCCTGAACCTCTCAGATCCTCCATGCCCTGTACTGTTCCACGGACGGCACACATTCTACAACTGACCTTGATTATGTTTCATGAAGAAGCATTCACTGAGTGTGACCACCTAGAGCCAGCCAGCTGGTGAAACTGGGCTAGAAGTAGAGGTTGGGGATGAGGCTCCTTCATCCCAAACCTTAAGACATAAATCAAGCAAATCAGCAAAGATGGCCTCCTGGAAAGTAGGATACTGGCCCAGCTGATTCAAAGTATTCCAGTGTATTCCACAGAGGTTACCCATTCGTTTCTCTCTGGACAAAACTTTATACTCTCCTTAAGCCTGATGTCATGCTGGGGAAAGTAGAAAAGATGCTGAGATAAAAAGATTTGTGCTGATGGTTTGTGTCTCCTATGCTCATTCCAGTTAAGCTCTTTTATAAAGAACAAAATGTCCTCGTCTCTATCTTCATGTTTTTCAGCTGTTGAGAAAATTGTTTCCACATCACTGAAGCAGCTGCTGGTAAATATAGAAAGCTGGTGATTGGCACTGGAATTACTGCCAAAGTCAGAAATAGGTGAATATGGAGCAGCATCAAGGAAATCAAACCCTCTAGCAACTCGCTGGTCTTCTGTCAGGGATACACAACGACCAAATGTGAAAACAGAAGCAAGCTGCAACAGCCTTAAACACTCTGCCCCCAAGCCTTTCATTCTTGGCACCAGGAGCCAAGAGAAAAGCAGGGATTTGGCTACTTATGTCCAAGTTAAACTAATATCCATGTACACACCTGGTTCCATATTTATATCATTTTGTTCAAAGTTAATAAATATCCTTGAGGATAGGGATCCTGTCTGTCTCCTTTAACCTCTCTCTTTTTTTTTTTTTTCTTTTTTGGCATAGGGCCATGGACACCTGGGCTTCTAAAGTACTTAAGCTGAAGAAGGTGACAAATGGCTCTCTGGAAGGAAACCTGTGTTCTCACGATGCTAAGAAAGATGTCATCACTTGGGCTGCCTTTAAGGTCCTGTCAGCCTGGAGCCTGGATACCTGTGTTCCTTTTTTTTTTTTTTTGTGGTACGCGGGCCTCTAGCTGTTGTGGCCTCTACCGTTGCAGAGCACAGGCTCCGGACGCGCAGGCTCAGCGGCCATGGCTCATGGGCCCAGCCGCTCCGCGACATGTGGGATCTTCCCGGACTGGGGCACGAACCCTTGTCCCCTGCATCGGCAGGCAGACCCTCAACCACTGCGCCACCAGGGAAGCCTCCTATGTTCCTTTTAAGAACGATTTCTGCCTTCCTAGAATTTCCCATTTGGGAAGAGTAAGAGCCAAAAAGATGTCTTACTCTGTGAAGATGATTTTCTGGAACAGAAGGCTGCGGAACGGAGCTACAGAAGAGGGAACTACGTGGTAACTGAATTCCCAATCACCCCTGCCTTCCCAGGCTTCTGTCATGCCTAGAACCATGAGTGGAGGTGGAAGCTGCCATTCCCAGTAGCCACCCATCTGCGACCAAAGCTTCTAGAATATGGAATGGGACATTTCCTAGTGTCCTGAAATT